TTGTTCTGTCACTGTCATTCTGTTACACTGTGGAAGCTTCTGTCACGAAAACAAATTCCTCGTATGTGTAAACATACCTGGCAATAAAGCTCATTCTGATTCTGATTCTGATCTGAAACGTGATATGGGGCTAGATTTGAGTAGCAGTTGGGCGTGTTTTTGTTGCGATAACCTGGCAACCCCCAAATTACAGTAATTCTATCGCTCCAGCAGGTGTGGTGACGAGTGCAACGGGCTGATCGAATGAAGTTCAACTAGAGGGATTTCCACCAGGGATCACTGCACTTTAACCTTTAACACACGCACATGATGTTTACTGAACCTTACTCAACAATGACACGATTATGCACAGCTGGAGATCACCACAGTTAGTCATAAACTAGGAAGTGACACAACAGATAGGCTATAAAAATATTAAAGCAGAAGTGCAAAAGGGTATGAGCCACGAGTGACATGGTTTCGACTTCTTTTGCTTGTGCCATCATATATGCTATCAGCTGAATAGTATGGTGTGACTGAGCACAAATGATATGGTATGTTTTGTCCAGAATCTCCAGAAGCAGTGAATCATCAGTTTGTCAGAGATTAGTCTAACAGAAGCTAATGTTTTTATATAGCCTATTTATTAAATATATAATTATTATCTAGTTAAATGACAATATTTATTGTATTTAGGCCTATGTTCTGTCAGTGTTAGGGATGAAACAATTAGCCTACCGGTTTGACGATAAATCATGATAAAATTCCCCACAGTTAGTAATAGCTACCGTTTCATATTTTAATCATCATTAAAACCGTATTCGATTACTGCGATTTGAACAGGATAAATAAATACTGTCCAAGGAGCCTACTTAAGTAACAGTTTGACCTGCGCACACCGCAGTGTAGTTTCGTTTTGTGTGAAAACATGGGGGAAAGCTGGGTTTAAAAGAGTGCTAAGGGAATTGTACAAATGAATATATGAATGAATTAATTATATGGATGTACCTCTGAAGGTTCTTACTTCAGAAAAGATTCAATGGCATTTTGTTTTCATCTTCGCTCCATATAATAGCCTACCTAAAGTAGTGCTCTTAATCGCAATGCTTATTCTGCTGTTCCATAAGCACCACCTAGTGTCAGAGAGTGGGTTTACAGAGAGTAACATTTACATTCAGCCTGTGTGCAGTTTTTGTCTGGCCAAAAAACGGACCGAATTTGAATTCCCTAAGGTATTTAGAATTATTTATGGAGCAGATAAAATACATATGATCATTTATTAATCAATTATCATTTTGACTTAACCCTTTTCTTTATTTAAAGGCTGAAATGTGAGATTTCATTTTCATTTTATAAAACCTTTTCAACGTTTTATTTGAACATTTTGTACGTGTTAGATAAAATGTTGTCAGTCATGTTGTCGATTAAAATCTGGACATCATTGGTAATGTTAGGTAGTGTTTACGCAAACAAAAAGTAATTTTATTTGCTGTTTGTTGATTTTAAATATAAAACTTGGTGAAACGATTTGTGTACTTTTTGAACATTTCCAGCACATTTTAACAATACCGTGACAATAGCCTACTGATAACTGATAATTTTGGTCACTATAACCGTGATAAGAAATTTTCATACAATTAAATCTCTGTGTTGTCTGATTACGATAAAGGCTAAACCGGAGGGCCGTCGCTGTAAATTAAGTACAAACACCGCTTATCTCCCGCTCTCTTATCCTGTATCATTCCACCAGGCGATAACCAACATAATGACCAGCATAACCCTGCACCTTCTGTTGTCATGTGACATAATGGTTTACTATGATGCCATAAATGTTTGAATCTCTTTAGAGATTTGTTTCTCTCCTTGGCTCTGGTTCCAAAACTGACCAGTAAAAACATTCTGAACCTTTGTGATGGTGACAGATTAATGCATGTTTATGCAGGATGGGTATCGTTAGACCAAATTAGATTATAGCACATTACTCATTGTTAATAAAACAATAAATAGCCTACTCCTTTTTAATGGATGAACTGGTGATCAGTGTTGGGGGTAACTCATTACAAGTAACACGAGTTACGTAATCAGATTACTTTTTTCAAGTAACTAGTAAAGTAACGCATTACTTTCCATACAAAGTAACTAAGTAACGGAATTAGTTACTTTTTTATGGAGTAACGCAATATTGTAATGCATTACTTTTAAAAGTAACTTTCCCCAACACTGCTGGTGATTTGTGACTACCCTCATGAATGAAACGCCTCCCACAACCTCTCATAGTTAAAATCTGGACTGATCCGTGTCGGAGTGCTTTGTTTCAATTCATTCTCTGCAGCAGATTTGAAGTCAATAAGAAAGAGAAAAGATTCTGTCAGTTGGTGAATTCCGGTTGACCACAGAACAACCTGTTCCAGCTATATCGAGTGCTAATAACATGTTGTATAACTTGTTGTAGCACCTACACGTCAACACAGGTGAGGTATGCTAACCTCATTTTGAATATTATGCTCGACTCATGCATTTATTTCATGTATTACCAAAAAGCAAAAAGACACGAACAGAATCATCAGTACTGTTTATTAAAATAATTTACTAGGTAAAATGTAAACAGACTTACAAGTTTCTGATGTTGAACATAATGAATTCACACTTCTCAGCCTCCTCCCCTGCAAGTACGTCCCTGTAGTATTACTGTGTTAATTAAACACAAAGCATAACACTTTACCCTTGGACAAAAGAAAAGACATACATTAAATGCACCTTGGGCTATGACTGTTTGAACGCACACAGGGCAAGATAGTCGAGAATGTTTCTTGCATGGAGAGAGCGGTAGAGAATTAAACATGAAGCGAATTGATAATTCTATGGTCTTTTTCACCATGGTGACAGGCACAGGTCTAACCAGCTTCATTAAATGCAGTTCCAGAGGCAGCCCACACAATCCTGCCCACGACTGAAGAGGCATACAACTGTGCACTGAAGTGACTCTGAGACATGGTCGGCTCTGCAGGAGGTTTAACAATATTTTCTGAACACAAAATGAGAAATAGGAAGCATACCATCTTAGTTGGAATATGGTGTAACATTTTAGCTCATATACAACTGGAAACAATGTAAAAAATTTTGGAAAATACTGTAATAATGGAAATGGAATTAACACATGCTTTATTAGAGTTATTTGGGTTTAATTTCATTTCTATTATTATTATTATCAGCATCACGTTTATATTATGTTTTTATATCTATTATATATTTTTGGGTTTTCAACAATTGTAAATGTTCTCAAAAATGCATATGCATGCACCATTAACCAACCACAATTTAGAAAATCCCAGTTTGAAACATTACGAAAATAAATATACACAAAACTGTACAAAGCTATAAAATAAATAGTTCCACTGACACATTTTTCAGTTATATTGTAATATACTGGAATAAATTATGCATGACTGAAGGGAGTAATTAAACTCAATATATGTCTCTTTTGGTCATCTATACAGGGCACAAACCTCTTTAATTTTTCATTAAGTATTAAGTTCATATTGAAAATGGCGAATGGCTTAATAGTACAACAACAAAACAATGTAACACACTCAATCAGTAACAATTCTCCCATAAACCTCAACGACGACTCCATTATGCTTTATGGATTACGCCGCAAAGAGATTGTTTTGTAAGGGCTGAAATGTCTGATAATGTCATATTTTCTTGTTGTCAACATTTAAATTTTTGGGACTGTGCTCGGTCAAAAAATAAAAATAAATCCAAAAAGTTTTGAGCCTAAAGGTTCGGCGTTTTGATAGTTTACCCAGAAATGGGAATTATTATTCTCTCTCCCTCATGTCATTCCAAACCTGTATGCTGCGATTATTTGCTAAAACTGAAATCATTATGTAGCTCTTGCCATTACACAACATTAAAAAAATATCATAAAAGTGGTTGATATGACTCTTTATGTGGTACATTAGGTCATCTGAAGCCAGGCAATATGCAAAAAACAAGCCAAAAGCAACGCATCGTGTTAAGTTACTACACCCAGGAGAACCAATGGCATTTTAGCGACATTAATACGCAATCTTTGAATATGGAATCAGATACGGCGCTGCTGAGGGCTCTGTGTAGTTGCTCTAAATGAGACTAAAACGCTTAATGACCATTTCCCAATCTATTTCAATGCATTCTCCAGACTCTCTTTTGATCTTTCTCTGTCAATCTCGTTCTCTCTAGTGCACTTTAAATTCACTTTGAATGCGGGCAGCAGACGAGATATTTCTCATCCACAAACCTGTCCTGGCATGTTAGAAGAATCCGCAGGAGCGCCTCTCTCATAGGAATATAAGACTCAAGGGATGTAAACGTTGCAGGAACAGACCATATGAGCTGCATGAGGACAAGCATCTAATCACAGATTGTGACCCTCTGGGAGAGTGGAGGTCAGATGTGTATGCAGATCTGTTCTGCTCTCATTAGACACTATGATGGAGGTGTATGCATGCGGACATGAAAGCCATTTGTCAAACGGAAATATAAAAGGTGTTGTTGGGGGATTCAGAGAGGTGATGGAGAAAAAAAAACAATCTGTCAAGCTCAAATCATAAAAGGTCTGCTCACACAATGTTGTTTTTGCGTCAAAGGCAATGCATTTTGAATCTGGCTTCAAAATATTTGGAACACGAGTTGTATGTCTACACAGCAAAAATGATTTTCTTACTTAGTATTTTCATCTTGTTTTCCAGTAGAAAAATCAGAACATTATTAAATCAAGATACATTTACTAGAGAAGCAAAACGACATACTTTTGTTTTTGTTTTTTTAGAAAACAAGACATCTTAACGAAATCCTATGCTTGAAACAAGAAAAATATCTGTCAATGGGGTAAGAAAAATAATCTTAATTCAAAGTTTATTTTTCTTGTTTTAAGCATAAATTCACTTCATTGTATGTCATTCTGCTTCTCTAGCAAATCTTCCTTAATTTAATAATGTTTAGATATTTCTACTGGAAAACAAGACAAATATTCTGAGGAAGAATTTTTTTTTATCCTTTTTGGTCAAAACAAAGTTACAAAGTTTCATTGTATAGAAAGAGCCACGGAAAGATACTTCAAAATGTCTTCTTTTGTGTAAAAATAACAAGATACAGGTTTGTAATGACATGAGGAAGTCCAACTCTACTAAACAAAACAAAAACAATATACGTCTGGACACAAAGCATAAGGAGAGAGAACTGCACTATCAGCAGTGCTCATCTTAGCTCTGTTCTGAACATGTGGCCTTAATGTTCTCCACTCGGCTCCATTGCAATCTGCATATTCTGATCTAAACAGACAGAACCAGGTGCTTCGCTCCCCTTAAGTAGTGGGAGATACGCCAAAATGCTCTTGCACTCAAGTGTGGGCAGTCGGAGCAGTTGGAGCAGTTCCAGGACAAACATTTACACAACAGTTTAATGGACTTACTGGAAGTGTAGGGGATAATTAAACCCCCCAATATCACCATGTTACAATACTCATTGTTCATCATGTCCCGACTAGAATTGAATTTAGTTTATTTACTGGCAGCAGAAGCATCATTTCACAACGTTGCGCTAATTCGCTAATCCCTGTTAAGACTGCGAGACCTGACTGTAAGAGGTGCTGTAATAATTGGTCATGTCAAAAGAATAATCTAAGAAGTTCAGCATCAGCTTTACCTCTGCTCTGTGGTTGCCATGGAGACCTAGCAGCCAATGACTCCGGAATTCCGATGAAGGATTCCGACAAGGAATCATGTCAGTTCTTGTGCATGTGGACTTATCATACATAAGTCATGACAGACATAACAGATCTTAAGTCAAACGAATCCAGACACATTTAGGGGTCTATTGCTCAGGGTTAAACAGATACTGTGCACATAGTCTTCCCTCTCGCATTCAGAGTCAATTCATATTGTCGCTTTCACATCTTTCGCAACGGTCCTGTCCTTGTAATCCATTCCATCTTCTCCAGCTCTGTCACAACAAGCAGCACCTCATGGAAAACAAATGCTACCGGTCCATAAAGTGCATCTCAGTGGTTAATACTGTCATCTTGCTAGGTTCCCACCCCTGTGAAACTATCAATAATTGCCATATTTACACTATTAGTACCATCAAGTGCATTTCTAATTGTTTTTAAAGTCTGTTATCCCTGCTCTTTTTAACTATGCTTATTATCACAAGCTGTTACTGATAAGGTCAGTGTTGGCATACATTAGAAAATATTAAAATAAAGGACATATCAAAGACATTCAGTGCTCGACGGCACTAGAGTTTTGCACGATTTGCTCCATGCGATACCTCCATTTGAGTTCATCTTGTTGCTTTTTTACAACGCTGCCTTGTAAATGTTTCTTCCAACTAGTTTGTAACTGAATCATTTACTTGATTCCCCCAGATGGGCTCTTTTGCTTTGAAGGTTCCCTTGCTGTGTGTCCCCAACTCCAACTTGAATTTAACGCAAGCATGCTGAAATAAGCCAAAAGCTGTGCGATACAATTTGCAGAGGTAGAATTTCCATTGTATGTGTCCATTCTTTGCTATTTGTGACCAGTGGGCTTTCCTCAGTCTGTTGAAAGTCACAAGCTCTACATTTGAAATGTAAACGGAGAGGGACTTTGCTCCTTTTAGAGGAATACCAATGCTTTGTTTATCTTCCAATAAAAGCAGCTGTGGCTACTCATTAGCATCCTGTTAAAGTTAGTCTGGGTGAAGAAGGGGTATTAAGACGATGACACTGCCTTTGAACACTTGAGCAGTTCAAACGCATCTCGATTTCACACCGAGCTCTCATCAGGTTTACTACACAGCTGCGTGTGCTTCCTCTTCTCCAGGATCCTGTTGAGCTCCTCTGTGAAGGAGTAACAAAGCGGAGACGTGGTGTCTCCATCTGTCTGTCTCAGCAACACATAGCTGTTGCCATTCATCTTGCGTAAGACGCTGGGTAAAGTGGCAGAGAGTCCATTGACGTACTCTGATTCTGGAGGCGGTGGGAGAGGTGGAGCAGGAGGAAGCTCTTTGTTGGGGGCCGTTGTTGCTTCTCCAGGGACGATCTGCAGCAGGCCGTCGTGAGCGTCCGGTTTCCCGTTGCAGTGGCTGGAGATGGTCTTCAGCTCCAAGTGGGCACCTCGCTTTCTTTCGCCGCAAGCTGCAGCCCGTAAAGAGTGTTTACCCCTCCGTCCTTGCAAACAGAATCCCACGTAAAGCAGGACGACTGTTAGAACAAAACACAGGCCTCCTAGGATAGTGATTAGGGACAGGTACATTGCCTCCATGTTCCTCACGGAAAGAAACTCGAAGCGAGGAGACACTGGGGTCGGATGGAAGTCCTCCGGGGAGTCACTTGGGGAAGTTTGAATGGTCCAGTAGATCGCTGTGGTCAAGCGTGGCCGCGTTGGCTCCATGGGAGGAGGTGCGGGAAGCTCCTGGCGGACTGTCAAGCTGTAGATCACCACAGGAACATGGACACCATTCTCCAGGGCAAAGCAGCAGTAGTCGCCGCTTTGGTAAGGCCGTGCCTCGATGACCAGGAGGCCGTCAGTGCCAACGCGGTAACCAGAGTCCAGTCCATAACCCCGCAGTTCCTTTCCATTCAACATCCACTCAGGGGTTGCCAGATTGGAGCTGAGCTCACACTGAAGCAGCACGTCATCACCCGCCATCACAGAGCGAGAGCGGTGTAACACTTGGTCTATGACAGAGCAATGACACGCACACATCAGTTATAATGACACTGGAATAATTTAGGGTTAATTAATTAGATCATATTACCGCAGTAACGGTGATTCATTGGACACTACGAAAACTGGAGTGGTCCCACAACCTTAGATATTGGCTCATATTTACTTCATCTGACTTTCACCATTGAAGAATTAAAAGACACACTGCCTATACAAATTTTAAACATCTTCATAGTGTTGTTGTTTACTGAAATTACGTCTATTAAGAATCATTTTTGTAAAAGGAAATAAAGCTGAAACAAACTGAAAAAGTCTTAGATGAAAAACCTAAAATGACTAAAACACTTGGCAACTTGGCCTTGGCAGCTAACTGAAATAAAAGTACTAAAATTATTAATATGTAACTAAAACTAAATTAAAGCTAAATAGAAATATAAAAAACGACAAAAGCATATAACAAAATGACTAAAACTTACCCTAAAACTAAAATGAAACTGAAAATATAAAAATGAAAGCTAATTCAAAATATGAATAAACACTTTAAAAGTATATAAATAACACTGAATCATCACCGCAACACTGACTATTATAAGAATTATTTTTCATACCATCTGCTGTGGATTCATCACAGCCCTGGTTTCCATTCAGAATGTCCTGTGTCAGATTGGCTCTGTAGACAGAAGTTATTATTAGTTATTATCATGCACCGATATTAATTCTGACCAATACCAATAAATACTGATTATGTCCATATTATGACCGCTAACTAATAAATGTCCAGTTATCTAAATAAAAAAAATAAAACTAAATAAAACTAAAAACAGGTTTTACCAGTGAATTTAGGCATCACAACATTATAATGCACGGTATGAAAAATAAATATAAATTTTACAATTTGCTAAAGATCACAACATTTAAGTGAGCATTAGGGTGGCAAAGGTAATTGTAATGTAAAATAGGGGAAATGATCATGAACAATGAAAAATTCAATATCGCCAAAGAAAAAAAAAACGTTTGACAACCAAAATGATACCAATATATTAATGTTTCAATGATCAGAGTTCACCAGCTCTGAGCCAGACACTTATCCAAGATGCACTGGAGTGGGCGGTTCCATGACATACATAAACAAAATCATGCTATGAGCTCTATTTGACAGAGAACCTACACTGTGATATATGTCAGTTACAGTGGCTCTCAATCAATTAATTCAAAAGTTAAGAATGGACAGCAGAAGTATTCATGACCACACACTCAAACCTTCTGTTATGTGATGTAATCTCCACACACTCCAGTCCATCCCAGGCACAGAAGGGATCACGTGCCATCACACAGTCAAAGCACGAGGAATATCTGCTGCATGTGGACAAGGGCAACTGCACCACAGAGGTGGGCGAACCCACATACACACTCATCTGAAAGGTTCAAGTGGGTAGTAAGATTCACACTGTGGGCTGTGCATAAAATCAAGTCATACTCACATAAATTCAAACAGAATGTAATGGGTTTGGAGACTTTAAAATGAGAACAACCTGTTGTAATGATGGATTTAGAGACATTTTTATTTAATTCAGCTTCCAGGATGTGCACAGGTTCATTTCTAACCTGTTTCTCAGAGATGATTATACTTTCCACTGGCTGGGGTTCCTCAAATAGCTGCAGCTCCTCAATGATGTGCAGCTGACCGTCAACCTTCACAGCCCTTTGCATCCAACCTTCATCTGGAAGAACATCAAAACAATTCAGAACACTGCTGCACTCAATAAAAGCGCCAAGTGCTTGATAGATAAGAGCTAAAGAAAGGTCACTGTAACATACATTACCTGTCCCAATGAAGAGTACGTGGTACATCCGATCATCTAGACCAGTCACTCTGTGTACAGCAATTTTGGTGTAGTCCACATTCCTCCTAAACAGCATGGGGCGCTGTTTTTGAGGAAGGATCTGCCTGTACATGAGCGGATGGCGACGGACAAAGTGAAGTACATCGTCTGGCAGGTTGGTGGATGAGTTGATGCCTTTTTCTCTAAGTTGATCTGTGATGCACTGAAGAGAAAGTACGGGAAAGTTCCTTTCTGACAATAGCTACATACATCCTGCCATATTTTCACATCATTGAAAGGATAGCAGACACAAACAATACAGGGTCTGAAATTCTCTCTTCTTCTGGCACAGTGGGATTGCACTCTAATTTCCAAGAACCTGTTGAGAATGTAGGACATTGAGCTATTCTCGGCATCTTGACTGAAAATTTACATCATTTAACTGTCATTTCAATTATCCGACAGACACTGTTCAAGTGTTTGAGAAGAAAAGCTTTCAGGAAAAAAACTTAATTTTCAAAAACTCAAAATAGGCCAGGAAAACCAAAATCATTTAAATTTCTGAAAACTTCCGAACAGCAATTAAAGCTGCTCACTCGCATACAGACTCGCTCATTAGCAATATCACAGATTCAAAATTCATAAAGCAGCCAATCAGCAAAGATTTACTGCCTGCTACTAATCTCCATGGCAAAACGCTTTGATGAAATAAGCCCATTTTCTCCATGTGCACTCTATAAAATTGCTCATCAGCGTCTGATTTCTGGATGAAACCAGATCGACGCTCTACCTGTACCTCGCTGTGCTCTCTGAAGCAGAGACTTGTGCGTAAAGCACACAGTGATTAGAGAACTTTAGTAGCTCAACCTATGAAGTGCTGACTTGTGCTTCCCCCGTCAGTGTCAGCAAGAAGGCAGTGTTTCAAAGATGAGGATAATCAGGCCAGTGTAAGATGAAACAGGGGATCAGTATTACTGTAATCCAGTATGGCTACTGTTGGCCGTACCGAGCCGGGTCGTGGTTCTGGCACCTTCCCTGTGTACTGGGTCCATTTGTTGCTCGAGTCCTCTTTGCTTTCCATATAAGGCCCCTCAAAGGCCCACTGGATATCCGAAATGGAGTAATGGCAGATCGCAGACGCCTTTACGTTTTTCCTGAAAAAGAAGTAAGGAGAGAAATCCAACACTACATGATATCAGGTAAAACCCTGAGCCAATGTTGGGACGATGAACACCCACACTCAGCCATTTCTTCAGGATATATTTGAAGGGAGCACAAAGAAAATTTGTGAATAGAAGGTGCATTCATGAAAGTGGTGAATCAGCCTAGGTGTGAGCGCTTTGTGGTCGATCCAGTTTCCAGTTTGTACGCTTGGGTTTATTATCCGAAGAGCCTCTCAGCCTGTGCTGCGCTCATTGTTTTCAAGGTCTTGGCATGCCGGCATAAAACCCTCATAAGCCCACTGCGTAACCATGGAAACACGAAAAATAGATTACAAATTTATCAAAACGTGAGTGAGAGAGGTGAGGGATGACAGTGAGTGGGTGAAGGGGGCGAGACGGGAACATAGACAAAGCTCCTCAAGTGATGAGTACAACCTAGTGAAAAAAGAGGAAGGGGCACTTGTTAGAAGTGACTATAGGGGGAAAAAACAGTAATGGAGGGGAAAGAGTACTTCCAGTAGTAGCTTAATGGAATATTTCAACTAGAAATAACAATTCTGTCACTATATACTCACACAGTGTCATTTGAAACTTATATGATTATTCTTTTTCCATTGAACACAAAAAGAGAAATTTAGCAGAATGTCCAAGCTGCTCTTTTCCATACAATGACAGTAGACAGTAACAGAAAATGTCAAAAATGACCCCCAAAAAAGTATTGTCAGTAAAATTAAAATTTCAGCTTTTGGGCTCAGCAACATGTTTAAATGGTACCTGAGTGTTGGGCCGCTAAGCCGTCTTTTCACTAATTTTAGCTGTGCAGGTAAACCTCACTGCCCTGATCTCAAGAGGCACACTAGTGACTGACACTAGAGGCTGCATTCTTTAGCGTTTTTGTGATTAGCAAGCCAGCCTAATTATTTTATAATTATTACATAATTATTTGTATTGTTTAGCCATAGAAAACCTATTATGTTTTTCTTTCAAATGTATTTGCGGTCATTGGTTTTGTCTGGCTATATTCAAACACTTATTATTCATTCATTTTACTATTGCAAATAACCTGAGAGTAACAGTTGCTTCAAAACCAATCTGAAAGATTTGCATGACTGGAACTAGGGTTCGGAATACGACAATCGTACACAAATAGTGGAAAAGCAGCTTTAAACAGATTTGTCCACATCTCATTTCCAATATGTCTTAACGCCAGGCTCCTGCATCAGCAGCACCACATGCATGCGTCGTGGTACTCTCCTGAAAGCGTGTCGAAGACTGACACGGAAGAGAAGAAATTGTTAAATAAAGTTGTTCTTTTTGTTTTCTTTGTGCACAAAAAGTATTCTTGTTGCTTCATACCATTACAGTTGAACCACTGTTTTCACATGGACTATTTTAATAATGTCCTTACTACCTTTTTGTGCCTTGAACATGTCAGCTGCGTTGCTGTCTATGCAGGGTCAGAGAGCTCTCGGATTTCATCAAAAATATCTTAATTTGTGTTCAGAAGATGAACGAAAGTCTCACGTGTTTGGAAAGACATGAGGGTGAGTAATTAAAGACAGAATTTAAATTTTTCGGTGAACTAACCCTTTAAGCTTTGCAAAATTATTTGTTGCACGTTTTTCTAATTTGAACATGTCATCAGTGTATTGTTACTAGGGTTGGGAATTGAAAATCGATTCCGATTCCAGAATCGGATACTTGTTGTCAAATTAAAATTTAGATTCCGCCTATCCTATTCCTATGCGCTTTTTTTTTTTCTTCATCTGTGAGGACCTAGCGATCTGCCAGGACCTTGCTCGCTAATCTAAGCGCTCCAAAGTTGGGCTACTTCCGATTCCAGAATCGGATACTTAAGGTCAGGAAACGGATACTTGTTGTCAAATTAAAATTTCGATTCTGCCTATCGATTCCTATGCGCTTTTTTTTTTTCTTCATGTGCCAGGACCTTGCTCGCTAATCTAAGCGCTCCAAGATTTGGCTACATTTGCGATCAGATGGCAAAAAACTAAGTATAATATCTGTGATAGCTAAACATGTTGCAAGAGAGGTGCCACCACCAACATGACAAAGCACTTTAATTTAATAGATCGTTAAAGATCGCGAACACGATTCAAACACCAACGTGATTCTGTTCCTAAATTACAATGATTAGTCTGTTTCATTCCTCAACCTTTGACATGTGCGATCACAATGTTGCGATCACTTGGTTCGTCCGTGCAGAGTATGATCACACCAGTGTGATTTGAACATTTAAATTTGCGTTCGCACTCCCATTGACCTAAAGAGAGCAGCTGTCATGAATGAAACAGCTTCACACTCTTTTCAGCCACATTTGAATCATACAAGAGATTCGTTCAAGAACGCTGGTTCATCCAGTAATGAAACAAGTACATCTTGAGTGAGTCATTTAATCATTAATTCATAAATTACATGTGATTTTGTTTAGTTGTCTACTGTTTTTTCTTCCGAATCACGAGAGAACCACAACTTCCATTGGGGGGGAAAAAAAATAAGAAAAAAAACCCCCTCAATTTATCCAGAATCATGCAGTTCTATTTTGCACACAAACAGCTCTTAAAGAGTTTATATGTAGTCTGTTGAGTTTTGTTCATTGTATTATTCAGCTCCAATAAATGGTTTGCAAAAAAGAGACACAGGATAAATGTTTGATATCATTATTTAATCGGAATCGATAAGAGGAATTGGAATCGGAATTGATAAAATTCACACGATACCCAACCCTAATTGTTACAGATATTTTTAGCAAAATTAATGAGTTAGAAGATTACAATCCCATACATTATAGTTTTATTGACATATATTAATTATATACTGACAACATATATTGTATAAATAATATATCATATACTTTAAATGTAAAAAAAACAAAAAAAGTTAAAGGGTGCTGCTAAAAATAACATTATTTTGTGTAGTTGGTGTAATGAAATGTGTTTATGCGGTTTAAAGTTAAAAAAACATTTTCCACATACTGTACATTATTGTTTCTCCTCTATGCCCCGCCTTTTTGAAACGCGTCGATTTTTACAAAGCTCATCGGTCTGAAAAAGCGAGGTGTGCTGTGATTGGCCGAATACCTCAAGCGTGAGACGGAAATGTTACGCCCCTCACATACTGTTGATCCCGTGTCCGGCCGGAGCGACGAGACAAAAACATTAAAACCCATTATAAACGAGGCATTTGTTGCATCCAGTGGGGACATAATTACTCTTTGGATTTGAGACTTTAGTCTTTGCAACTTTACAGATCTTCTTTATGCACCAAGAGCTTGTAACACTCCAAAGAGAAAGGAAAAATTGAAATCGCATCATATGACCCCTTTAACAAAAAAATCTTCATGGTGCCTCACAGCCTCAGGTGCTGTTCACTTTTTATGTAAAAGAGCAGCTTTAGCATTCTGTTAAAGGGGTCATGAACTGAGAAATAACAATTCCCTTGATCTTTTGACATATAAGAGGTCATTGTACTATAAAAACATCCTGTATGTTTCAGAACTCAAAACTTTCTCGTTAGTCTAAAACAGCTTATATTGAAGCCAATCTGCCAAAACAACAGGTTGTGGAAATGTACAACTCTATGATATAATAGTGTGGCTAAACACCGCCTCCGCAGAAGAAGATCAACGCCTGTTTCTACATCACTGCCTGTTTAGCCCCGCCCACCACTTTGTGCACATAGTATAAATAACGAGAGAGGCAAACACCAGTCTATGCAGAAACAAAACGATAAAGGTGCTCCGAAGACAACAGGATGCTGTGCAGTGCCAAGTTATGGAAAATTCAGTCTTTGCATTGCCTTCCTTCTGATCCCAACATTAGAAAAGAATGGATGAGCTTTATTTGTAATGAAGTTCCTGACCGCATCAGTAAGAGCACAGACCTTTGTTCACTTCATTTTACTGTGGATTCGTTTACAAACAAGGCACAATTCGACATGGGATTTTCAGAAATATTGAAACTAAAAGACGAACTGTTTTTATTATGTGGTCACTATTGCTTTGTCTGTTATTACAGATTGTTTGATATGTACTGAGTATTTATGCGTTTTAAACCTAAATCACAGCAGCATCCATCTATGAAGGATGTAGGCTGTCAAACATACACAACTGTTAGCCAATCATAGCAGTGGGCGTTTACTTCTGAGTCTACAATCCACCACGCCTATTCAAACAGAGCGTTCTGATGAGGGGGTTAAAACAGGACAGAAAATAGCCTATTACTTCTAAACTATGATGTTTTTTTTATGTAAAAATCTTGATAACATTATAAGGGGACCTCAGAGAACAGTACAAAATAATAAAAAAGGCAGTTCATGACCCCTTGAAATAACTCCTTTTACTGTTTCACAAAAAAAAAAACAACAACATGAGTAGATAATGTATGATACAAATTTCAATTTTGTGAGAACACTTCCTTTAAGAGAAAAGGTCTTTTATTGGAGATTCCATGTCTGAATCAGAATTGCCAAATACTCAGGAAAACAAGCACCCACGTCAAAGTAAACTTTACACTCAAACTGATGATATGGTGGCACCACAGTCATTCAACCTTAGCCTGCTAGAGGTCAGTGTGATCAGGTCATCACAGCTCAGCTGACGCACTCATTCTCATTTCATTTGTCTCTCCTTGTCTCGCTCTCTCTCTCCTTCCTCACTCTAGGCCGCCGTGTGTGACGCTGTGTTTCGTTGTGAAAGCGAAACTACTTTGTTTGGCTAGAAATCAGTGGTTAAGTTGTATTTACAACACTGTTCACACGCTTGAGGTATTCGGCCAATCACAACGCACTGGATAGCTGGCCAATCACAGCACACCTCGCTTTTTCAGACGATGAGCTTTGTAAAAATCGACGCGTTTCAGAAAGGCGGGGCATAGAGGAGAAACAATAATGTACAGTATGTGGAAAATAATGTGTTTTTTTAACCTTAAACCGCATAAACACATTTCATTACACCAAATACACAAAATAATGTTCTTTTTAGCAACATCATATGACCCCTTTAATTGTTTTCTAACGTAGCAGACATTATAGTCCTGCCTGTCCTGTCATTCATCACTGTTACTCATATGTTTGCGGTTTGCACCTCAGGCAGCCGCAGCCCACAGATTGATAGCCTGGCAGCTCATCAGAACCGCCCCTCTTGTTTCAGCAGAGCGTCAAGACTGTCATGTCAGTCAAAGCGGCAGACGTTAAGCGTGTGTGACCGATGTGTTATAACCAGTTTAGCTCTGAAGAAATGTGTGAAAGGAAACTATTGAATAAAAGAAATTGCTTGACTGTCATGCTGACAAAAACAGAAATGTGGCCCTCGAGCTTGAAAGTACAACATCTTACAGTTTTATCAATGACTAGTCAAAGCTTGGCTCACGGGCCTCTTTATAACGTGTCCAGAACAAATTCTCTGATCTCCTGAGAGAACGTGACCTGCCAGAGCAAGCCAGGGCTGACAGATTAACTTACTAATAGAAAAAAATCCATTTCAACAAACCCGCCAGTTACAGCGAAATAACGCGATGCTCCCTGGCAGAATCCTTTAATCACTATCGACTGAGGTGTCATTTGCATGCCACCCTGAATGCACGGCAGCACAACACTTTAACCTTCCACAAACAACTGCCAGGATCATTTAAGAAAGATGGTCTCCTTCTGAGAAGGAGAACCAGAAGAAGTGACTTTCATCATGACAGATAACTAATGTAATTGACACCCACAATGAAATCGAAACACTATTGCAAATAGATACATTTGCATTTATGCAAAAAGGATAGTACAAAAGATATCTTACCATTCCAGACCAAATATGCCATAGAATACAGAGTCCTGAGGGCTGGAGCCCTCCAGAAAAAACACACTCCGCAACACGTTGAAGTGAAACTCATAGTCAGGTAAAGAACACACCAGACGGGCCTTCAGGAAGGAGGTCCACTTCTTCTGTAGCGTGAGGAGACCTCCTCTGTCTCTCTACAAGATGAAACAACAGAGAAAAAAACAGCTGAAAGAAAATCATAAGATGCAACAGCAGATATCTGAAAGGTCTGCTAACATGTACACTACCGTTCAAAACTTTGGTGTCAGTAAGATTTCTTTTTTAAAAGAAATTATTATTTTTATTCAGCAAGGATACATAAAATGGATCGAAGTCACAGTAAAGACATTTATAATATTACAAAAGATTTCTATTTCAAATGCTGTTTTTTAAACTTTCCATTCATCATTGAATCCTAAAAGAAACCATATTTAGGTTTCCACAATCATGTTAACTGTTTTCAACATGGATAATAACAAGAAATGTTTCTTGAGCAGCAAATCAGCATATTTGAATGATTTCTGAAGGATCATGTGACACTGAATATTGGAGTAATGATGCTGAAAATTCAGCTTTGCAGTTACAGGGATAAACTAAAATAGAAAAGAGTTATTTTAAATTGTAATAATATTTCACAATATTACTGTTTTACTGCATTTGTGGGCAAATAAATGCAGTCTTGGTCCACATAAGAGACTTTTTTCAAAAACATTTTATTGTCCCCAGATTTTGAATGCTACCGTATTGATTTAGCATGTAAGGTCACTTACAAATGGAAGTAAACAGTTGAAGTAAACATAAAAAACAATTAAAATATTTATCATTATGTGATATATAAGTATATAACATCTATTCATTACTATTAGAAAACATCTAAGAGTTTTACCAAAAAGTAATAGAAGAAAGTTTATAATTTCTTTTAACATGGATCACTGGCTCTTGGCATGGCTCACTGGCAGCTAACATTATCGCCAGTGTGACTGTGGGAAAGGGAAATGCACTGAATTGGATGGGTTGTTTTGTATGTAAAGGAATCCCCCATGATGTCAGGGGGATCAAGTACATTTTCCATGCTGCCTCCCAAGAGGAGAATAAATCTTCATGGAGGAATAACTTTGACGGGATCCAAAAGCATCTTGCAACAATTCTTGGTTTCCCTACTTAGTTTCCGGTAATAACACTGACACTATAATGTAATGGCCTTTAATTTCCACTGTGGAAAAGGGAAACTGGCTTTTGAATGTTGATTTATGATGCCATCATCTCAGCCTGGTGATATTCAGAAGCAGATGTATGGTGATATGAAACCAGAGCTTAATGCATTGGCACTGATACGATAATCCATCTCAATCCATCTTTTTGAATATTTAAAAACTGCAAAAGATTTCTAGCCTACACCAGTATGAAGAAACAGAACGCTTTTATTAAGTCTTTATACAGACTGTTACTGACAACAGCTGAGTTACTGTGTTTAATTATGGCTGTCCCTCAGCTCAATGTCAGCTAGTGTGCATTAACAACATTCAGTACCTCTAGCATGTGGATAATGAACAATAATCTACTCATTAAGGTGATCCTGCTGTGTGAACTGCCACAGAGAAGCTGATTTTACCCTCAATCCAAACAGCCTGCTTCACACACTTTACCAGCCCCGGCTTCAATACACTGGCTTATAAGCAGTCCTGCCAAACGATTAATCGCGATTAATCACATCCAAAATTAAAGTTTTTGTTTACATAATATGTGTGTGCATTGTGTATATTTATTATGTATATATAAATACACACACATGCATGTATATATTTCAGAAAAATATGTAACGTTTATATATTAAATATATTTATATATGATATAAATTATATGAAAATAAATACATGTAAATATTTTCTAAATATATGCTGTATGTGTGTGTATTTATATATACATAATAAATACACACAATACACACACATATATTATGTAAACAAAAACTTTTATTTTGGATGTGATTAATCGTGATTAATCATTTGACAGCACTACTTATAATGCAATTCAGTCTGTTATCTAACCCACTATTGTGTACACTATCATTAAAAAGCTTGGGTCAGAATTTATTCATTTATTTACCTTTATTCAGAAAGGATGCATTCAGTTGGTCAAAACAGTAAATGCATTTATAATGTTACAAAAGACTTCTATTTCAAATAAATACTGCTCTTCTGATCTTTCTAGTCATCAAAAATTCCACAAAAAATATCAAGCAGAACAACGGTTTCCAACCGTGATAATAATTTTACAATAATATTTCACAAAATTACTGTTTTTGGATTTAAAAAAGATATAGCCTTGATGACCATAAGAGACTTCTTTCAAAAAAATTATCAAAATATACAGGTAGACTTTTCTCACATGCTGATATATTTAGTGTAAATAATATGTACTAGTCTATCATTTAGTAGAAGGATTTAATCTATTTTAAAGAAAAGCTGAATTCACATACATACACAAATACACTCACAATTCTCATCTCGCATGCTAGCAGCTAGTGTAATATTAGGCACATGCTTTGAAAACAATTGTACTATTAATCCCAACTACTAAGCCAGACAGTTATCAACAACAAAATGTCCTTTGCAGTAAACATCCAACATCCTGACCGCTAAGACCGTAAAGACGTGCTCTGTGTCTTCGACAAACTATTCACTTTTTTAATTGCACTGATCAGCATACTGAATGTGCACAAAAACATCAGATGGTAAATAAACACTGTAGAGTAGCAGCCTAGAAAAGATGTGAAATTGCAGACATTTTCAATTGGCACTTTGATCTGAGTGTGTACAGCTAGACTGATGGGTTGAGAAGCGAGACAGAGAGGCGAGTCTCATGGGAAGGGAGCCGTTAGAGAGTGAGATGCCTGGCAACAATGTTGCTGTAAAACCCTATTAGGAAACCTGTAGAAAACCACACTTCAAATAAAGGAGCGTTTTGAGGGCAGAGCCCTTACAATGCTGAGAATGAAACAGTAGAGCCTAAAATGCATTGGTGAGGAACTTTTTAGTATGTGTGCAATTTTTCAGGGCAGGGCAATGGATGTCTCTTAACAACTCAAATGTGAGGACGATGTCTTGCCATCTCCCTATTTTTGTGTATCATTATATTGTGGAGAGAATCAAGTGTTTGTCATTTTTGCTTTCATCGAAGAGATTAAATTCTTAACCATTTTGTTCCACTTTACTATGCAAAGCATGTTTACCACAGTCTGGATTTCTACCCCTTAATTTTAGCACTTCAATTAACCAGCTTTAAGATGCAGACGAGAATGAACATGAACATGTACAGTGACGTGTGGAGTGAAGACATCTTCTGTACCTTACACACACGGGCGACCCGTGCCACCCTGCTGTGACTGAAGTATGGACTGAGCTCTTGACTCTTCTCAGTGAAGAAGAAGTAAATCTTATCGTCATCTCCCACTGAGCTACTCACACTCTTCCTCACCAGCGCTGAGCCCACAAAATCAGCCTCTGTACGGGACAAGACAGAAGATTGCTGTTAGTACATCACAGCAAGAGGAATTACAAAATATAATTCAATACTGCACATTAAAATAAAATAAAAATGTATACTAAATGACACTACACTTAGGGGATGGTAAGATTTTAAAATGTTTATTAAAAAAGTCTTTACACCCAACAAGAGTGCATTTATTTAATCAAAAATACAGTAAAACAGTAATATTGTGAAATATTATTACAATTTAAAATAACTATTTTACAATGTAATTTATTCCTGTGATGCAAAGCTGCATTTTCAGCATTATTACCCCAGTCTTCAGTGTCACATGATCCTTCACAGATCAAGAAACATTTCTTTTTATTATCAATGATGAAAACAGTTGTGATGCTTAATATTTTTGTGGAAATTGTAATAAAAGAACAAAAAGTTACAAAGTTACACATTTTTTGTAACATTATAAATGTTACACTGACTTTTTTCATCAATTTAATGAATCCTTCATATATAAAGTTTTATTTTATTAAAAAAAAGTTACTTATCCCCAAATTTTGAAAAGGTAGTGTGAATAATATATGATTATATTATATTTAAATTTAGAATTTCATTTTTTATTTGTAAAGATGGTGGATAACCATTTCCTTACATTTGATTAGCAGTGTGGGAAAGTTACGTTTAAAAGTAATGCATTACACTATTGCGTTACTCCATAAAAATGTAACTATTTGTGTTACTTAGTTACTTTTTATGGAAAGTAATGCATTACTTTTTGTCACCTGAGCTGGGCTAGCTTATTTATTTTTAATAACATAGAACACAAAATTTATATTTTTGGCAACTGTAAAGGCCATTTCACATCAAAAGTTAATAAGCCTCAGGCTGAACGAAGTGCTTCTGCATCTGGATTTATTGCCGACAGCAAAGCTGTCAGTGAATAAATGGGAAAACAATGTAACTTGCATTAGTTATTTTAAAACATATCTCAGATATTTTGTGGTAAATTAAAAAGTAATGTGTTACTTTACTAGTTACTTGGAAAAAAGTAATCTGATTACGTAGCTCACATTACTTGTAATGCATTACCCCCAACACATTTGATTAATGTCCTAAAATAATTCAGAATTTGTTTTAAATTTTTACACCAAGTTTAGATGGTGGTCTCGGACTTGTGGACGCCACTGTAGTGTTAAATGGCCGAAGATTATTAACCTACTGTGACTTGAGAGATCCAAACATATGGTAATGTTGATGGTGTGGGATGAAATATTTTACTAATAAAATGTGCTGCAGCAGACCGACCCTGTAACCATTGAGTTGGAGCCTCTTCTGTTCTCAATGTGGGATTCGGAGAGTTGCGTCGGATGTCAGGAAAGCTCCGGAACTCATACTGAGATGCTGTGTACATCTGCTGATCTAAGGGAAACAGATGATATGACTGTTAATATCAAATTATTGTTTTTAATAAAACAAACTAAGGGCAAAACGTATATTGCTAATTGATTTATTGATGCCATACCAATCAACAGGCCAGTGTAGCCTTTGTTGGGGTCATATGGACATTTCTCTCGACCCTCCTCGAAGGCTGACGAGATCTTAAACTCCCTCCCATCCTGGAAAACACAACAAAATAATTTAGACAGTCCTCATCCTAAAATAAGATCTCTCCTTGTTAAGAGACATAAAAAGTAGCCATCCCAGTTACTTACAATGTATGCACACAGAGGGCTGAAAGCATGTGTGCCACAAGTGTACAAGTGTGTGCTGTTGAACCTCTGCAGGAATTGTATGTGGTTGTAGCACTCTGTCTGTAAGGGGGAAGACGTCTACGTCAGTATGTGAACTAGAGATGATAACACAATAGATGGAGATCGTGACTAACCTTGTTATCTTTCCCTTTGTTCAAGCATTGTTGCTTCTGATCATCTGATGCCTCCCAGACAATCTGTCCAAGTACAAGATTAACAAGAATTCTTGAACTGACAAGACTTGTAAAAATGCTTTCCTGGCACAGCAACTTCCTGCTCCAGTTTGCTGTGCCAAATTGTACCAACTGGTGTTTGTAAACAACTCTCACATTAACTTACTATGCACAGTAGTTGAAACAAAATAGTGAAACTAAATCTGAATTCTCAGGAGGAAAGAATCTACACATTCTATATATAAAAAAGCATCTTTAGTGATCTTTAAAAAGAAACAAATGTTAAAACAAAATACACAATATTTGTATTTCCTCAAGAAATATTTTAAGTTTTAAGCTTAGATTATAGGATACTGCAACACATAATTTGACGTTTGCTCTCCTTTCCTTTCCAGTGCTAAAGGTCCAATATATATTACAAAATAAACACATAAATCGCAATTCGGTATGCAAATAAAAAAAGAAAGAAAACCAAAATAATGAATTATTTAAATAATTATAAATTAGTAATAATTAAATAATTACATTATCTTTAAAAAATAATTCAGTTCAAAATCAAAATTAATTGGATGAGTACAAAGTTCAAAAGAACAGCATTTATTTGAAATTGAATTATTTTGAAACATTATAAATGTCTTTACTGTGACTTTTAATCAAAAGTATAAGTATTAATTTCTTTTAAAAATGTACTGAAAATACTGTTAAAATTCTGTTTTATTCCATTTCCTGTGTGAATGGCCTCTTACTTTGTACGTCACAGATATTTTCAAATTCCTGCATTTTTCAAAAAGTATTACGTATGCATAAACCAAAAATAGATGGCACCTAACAGTGAAATTATTCACATAACATTTGAATGGAGTCTGCATCTTAAGCATTTTTTGCTGAATTAATTGCAGAAAATTGTGGAGCGGAAGAAGAATAAAAATAGGATATTATCAATATAGTTCTGCCTGGCAAGCTCTGTAATTAAGTGCTGATGTGTTTTGTCAGTACGTACGGTCTGCAGAGAGCTGCTGGAGATGTCACTAGCCTGCAGGGCATATAAAGCCCCTCTCGCTCCCACGTACAACAGGCCTGCCTCCTCCTCCAGCAGCAATAAACTGTAGTTCAGTGTCGAGCCTCTGAAGCGCCTGAGGTCCAACAGCCCTGAAACACACAGGACAGACCAGTTAAAGAAATATTTTATCCATAAAAGGATCCGTAAACACTTGTTTAAGTTCTGTGGGTGCTTGGTGTTGTGAAGATGAGCTGTTTCCTGTGTCAGTGAGTCCATGTTTAATTTATTGACATTCAACTTCAGCTTCCCTTTTCCAAATCTTGAGAAGTGGATGCTGTGGATTAAACTATGCATCGCCATCGTTCAAAAATGAACATGTAGACTGTAACATCATTAAAGGTGGGGTAAGCGATTTTTCAAAAACGCTTTAGAAAACTGATTCGGGCCGAATAGCAAAACAATCTTGTAGCCAATCAGCAGTAAGGGGTGTGTCTACTCATGATGTGGAGGAGAGAGCGCTCAGTGCACGGGGACACTGGACGCGACAATGCGACTGTTGAAAATCATTTGAAATTTGTGTCAATACGTCATAAATATAATGCAGCAGCAGTTTTCTGTCGGAGATTTTTTGTCGCACCGCGCCGCATCCAGTGTAGACCATAGATATGTATATATATCTATGGTGTAGACAGCATCACTGATTATAATGAGTTCTATAGTATTTTGTCACGCCGCGCCACTCGCCTCAGGTGTAGACACGGTGTAACATTGGTTTTGCTTTGTTTCACAGAACTAATCGTTGCCTGGGTTGCGTACATATATGTGGGGCGGACATTTATATCAAAATAGGGGCGAGACCCTTTTGGGGTAGGGGCGTGTTTGTTTTGGTGATTTCAAATGTCAACATTGGCTACCAGAAATTGCTTACCCCAGCTTTAAGACACCTACTGTACATTTGCTCCAAGGTAACTTAATGTTTTAAAGTTGTATTCATATTTTAAATTAGGCTTTACTCTTTTTCAATGACTGCATATTAAAAGCAAATTCCTTGATTCTTATTTACTTTTTGGAATGTTTTTATGTTTCAGTAGCCTTCCTTTTTTTAATACTTTTTTTTTTAATATAATTACTAGAAATAAACGCATTCATCCAGATATTATTTATTAATTCTTGAGGTAATTGGCTTCATCTCTCTTCATGTTTGACAGCAGCAGAACTAGTGGGGAAGCTTGTCAGGCCTAGCAACAGTACGCAAGGAAACAGGGCTTATTAAAGGGTCAATCTGCCTGTTGTTTTTATGTTTCCGGGTCCTTGTGTAAGGTGCCCTGCAGGAGGCAAGACAACACACCTCATGCTGACATTACGCCCTGCATGACCCTAATGAATCACATGTGTCTCTTATTATGTAGAATTTTCGAACAGACCTTTTCACTTCCAGAGTAACAAAGGTTTAATCACAAAACTAAAACCAAACCAAAACAAAACAAAACAAAAACATTTGTTGATATTACGTGGTGGTGTTTTAGTATTATTTGTTTTGTTTGTTGGATTGTCATTTGATCAACACAAACTCATGGCAACTATTTTTTCAGTTTGGCGAATTGGTGGCTAATTTGTGTGAATTTATATGATCTCATTAGTACAATCCGCTTAGCCTCAGTTATCTTTAGCGGTAGACCTTCATGCTCACTTTTTTTTTATTGTATATTTTCATAAAATAGTAAAATTTTCCCATGAGATCAGGTTGTTACATGCCAAGCAAGATTTTGTTTTAGACTTGTACACCCCATGTTCAAAAGAATTAGTAAGATTTTCTTTATTTTTTTAAATTAAATTAATACTTATATTTATCAAAGATGCATTAAATTGTATCCGTTTCCAAAAATAATTAATCAGCACAACGGTTTTCAACATCGATAATAATAAGAAATGTTTCTCGAGCAGCAAATCAGAATATCAGAATGATTTCTGAAGGATCATGTGACACTGAAGACTGGAGTAATGATGCTGAAAATTCAGCTTTTCCACCACATGAATAAATTACATTTAAAAATATATTAAAATAAAAAATTCTTACCGACCCCAAACTTTAAAACGCTAGTGATTCTGAGTTTGACATAGGTTGTCTGCTTGCAAACGGTAACTAAAGTGTAAAATATATAATAAAAGAAATATAGAAGTTTAACTGGCACTTTATATGTTTACGGTATGTATTAAACTATGTATGTTCATATAATTACTCTAAGTAGTAGAAGACAGTCATCACTCATTCCATAATGAGCATAGGAGGCAGAACGCCCTTTTAACACAAAGGTGAGCTGATACACAAACAAACATTCCCGGTTTCTTGTTTGCCCAATAGTGTGTTGTGGATCGCACTACTGTGATGATGTGCTCACGACAGGTGCTGTACGGTATGCGTACTGCAAAAATAACACCACATGCTGAAAAACATCAACACACGCAGCCCACAGGTCACACGTCTCCACTCGTGTAGGCAGCAGTGTGTGGCAGCACTGCATGCAGGGACAGGACAGGTTATGCAGCGCAGCCAGATTCGGCTGAGGACCCAGAGAGCTACAATGACAGCAGAGCTGACAAACACAGCTACGGAGAGACAGAGGGGAGTGAGCTACAGAGACGGTGCATACCAGAGACAGGCGGAAACAGAAAAAGAAGATAATTAAGGTGCCCTGTGACTTCCTGCTGACACAGCGCTGCTGTGTTTCGCAAACATGCAGAAACGTCTGCATTTCCTTAATGCTTCCTGCTCTCTCACACACACATGGTCAGACTTGATTAACTTCTCTCTAATACTCAGGCAGTCCCATTCACTTGCTCTTTTGTTTTTGTGTTCAAGTGCGTGTTAGGAATGACGAGCTACTCTGAGATCTTTCATCTCTTAACAACAAACAAATTATATTATTAACGATCAAATCATCTTCATTAAATTCGTCCAAAACATCAACTCCACTCACTCATCAACTAACTATGGTTGGTTCTCAATGGAGAATCATTTACTCAGCCTCAAGTTTTTCCAAACTTGTATGAGTTTCTTTCTTCTGCTAAACATAAAAAGAAGGTATTTTGAAGAATGTTGGTTAGCAAACAGTTGACGTTAGCCATTGACTTCCACAGTATTTTTTCCATACTATGGAAGTCAATGGCTACCGTCAACTGTTTATTTATACCCGAGTAAATGATTAAAGAATTTTCTTTTTTGGGTGAACTATCCCTTTAAGAGAGATAGTGACAGTCACACCACAACTTTAACAACAACGACACAAAGGAACGATATCGTGTCAGACCCTTTTTTCAGCTGATGAACGATAAAAACATTGACAGCCAATCAGAATCCACCCGCATGAGCATTTAAAGCGGCAGAAAACAAGACCGCAGTACTTATAATAAACAGAATGTTATTGTTCATTAGTGTGGATGCTAATAAACTATAGTTATTTATTCATTTTTTGTGTTAACAGTTTTTTATAGTTAAGAGAGCCATTTGGCTGTTGTTTACTTTTGAATGTGCATTAGCATTAAACAGAGAAAACTACCAATTTCTTTTGTTTGCATGACTTGAGCACAATTTATTGCTATCAGATTTTTTTTCCTGATTTGACCTTTAAATTTAATTTCACAAACACTAGATTTCTGGCTTTACTCATTCAAGATATGATCTGCACTTTGATGGCTGGAAATAGCATTATTAATATGTCCACCAGTCAAACTGACTTACCTTAACTTGACAATGTTAAGAAGCCAATATTTGACCCCTTGGGGTGAATGTAATGCAGTAATAATAATAATAAAAACCAACTATTACCATTATTCTGAATATTAGCCTATTCCTTTCAATGTCAATGGCGCTTATGGCACAGCTTGAAAGCTCTGCTTTGGCCAGAAAGAATGATAAAATAATAATTAGTGTGCAAGAGGTCATGAGACTGGAAGATTTCATTTATCAAACCAATTTCATGAACCTTAAGAAAAGCCACGAGTCTAATCCACTGTTTCAAAGTAAAATAGCAGAATGATCTACTCTGTGCTCATTTCCAATTGCTGTCAACTTTCCTCTTAATATCTTCACCCTCCATCCCCAGAACAGTCTACAATGTTAACAGAAAAGATTGATCCACTCAGACATACACTATCAGATCACAATGTGTTTCCCACAGTTCTCCAGAAATTATTCAGGCGTCACTCTTCAGTGGGTCAGAAGCACGGGGTCAATCTTAAACCCAACAGAGCCGAACAGGGCCAAGACTTGCACACATTATTAGTCTGGCCACACTGGAATAAACAGTACATATACACAGTCCCAAATGCATTCGCATGCACATATCATTTACACTGTCATACTGACACGTTACGTTGTACTTTTCCACTAGGCACCAGATTCATCACAAACAGCAGTTCAAAATGGTAAACGAATTACAAGCCAAGGTTAATCAAACAGAACAAAGGTTCACAAGCACATAACACAGAGACCTCCACGATATCCCTGCGTTGGGGTGAGCAGAGCAGCTTTGAACTTCAAACGAATGTAAAGAGGTGTGTTAAAATGGCACCGGCCCAGCATGAAGCAACGCCCATCCCAACCAGACCAGCATCCTGACTGATAGCACTCTCCAGGCCTGCTATTACACAGACACAAACCACACGACCTAGGCGTGCTTGTCATTCTCAGGCACATGGCAGTGCAGCGGAGACACGCTATCATTTCCCCAAACCAGAATTACTCGTTTTCCTGATCGCTCAAATAGAGCTCCTCAGGATTTAAAGCTGCACAAATGGTTGTCTGTTCAAGATGGTCATGGGATCTTACAAGGAACGGATGGAGGTCAACGAAACACTGGCAAACTATAGACACAGTTCGTTGGGAATGAGTTTTGGCTTCAACCTCCACAACATTGGGATTATCAATGCAGCTCTGCTTACAAAAAAATAAAAAATAAATAAATTTTTTTTTTTTTTTTTTTTTTAACCAGGTTTCATTTTTGGATATGATACCATACTAATAATATGGTTTTGTATACAAGTACCATGGCAGTATTATGTGACTCAAACTTTAAATATCCCATATTTTTCTATAACTCTACAATTTATTCTGTAATATATGTAAATAAATGCCAAGTACATAGAGTGC